ATAGCAGCTTTATTTGTAGCAGACCGAAATTGGAAACAACCTAAATACTCATCTGCAGGTGAATGGATAAACAAATGTGGTTTATCCACATCGTGGAGTACTACTCGGTAATAAAAAGGAATGAATTATTGACTGACACAAAAACAGGTTGTATCTCAGAATAATTATGCTGAGTGAAAGAAGCCAGACTAAAGAAAAAGAGTGCATGTAGTATGATTTCATTTATATACAATTCTAGAAAATGCAAATTTGTAGTTACAGAAAACAGATCAGTGGTTGCTTAGGATGGGGTGGAGGTGGGAGGGAGTATGGGATGGAGGGATTATGAAGGGGTACCAAGAAACTTTGGGGGTGATGAATGTGTTTGCTATCTTGATTGTAGTGATGGCTTGAGGGTACAGACATGTCAAAACTTTTACAAAATTGAATTCTTTAAATGTGTGCAATTTATTGTATATCAATTATAGCTCATTAAAACTACTAAACGCTTCCTTCCCAAATGTGCATGATATGTGTATTGGGGTTCTCCAGAGAAACAGAGCCAATTGGATGTGTGGGGACAGGGCCTGGGGGGGGGGGAGAGAGATGGATTTATTATGAGGAATTGCAGTTCTCAGCTATTATGGAGGCTGAGAAGTCCTGTGTTCTGCCATCTGTAAGCTGGAGACTCAGGAAAGCCAGTGGTGAAGTTCGAAGGCCTGAGAGCTGGATTTTCGTTTGAATGTGAGAGCCTGAGAACCAGGAGCTCCAAGGGCAGGAGAAGATTGGTGTCCCAGCTCAAGCATTCAGGCAGGGGGAGCACGCATCCAACCTTCCTCTGCCTTTTTCTCTATTCAGGTCCTCAACAGTTGGGATGATGCCCACTCATGTTGGGGAGGGTGACCTGTTTCACTCAGTCCACCAAATCAAATGCTAATCTGTTCTGCAAACACCATTACAGACATGCTCAGAAATAATGCTAAACTAGGTATCTGGGCCTCCTCTGGCCCACTCAAGTTAGTACATAAAATTAACCACCGAAGAATGTTCTTAACAGTGAAGTTACAGAGCAGGCAGTAAAATGGTGGGCCTTGAGGCAGGAGAAGAAACATGGGAGGCTGATCGTTACAGGGTCCCCACATCGTCTTGAGGGTAACGGCTGTACACCAAACGGTTTTGAGCAGGCTGAAGACATAATTGGGTGTGCCTTTTTGAAAGATTAGTCCTATTTTAGGCTGGAGAATGGTTGTCAGAATGCAAGACCAGAGGCGGGGGACCATTAGGAAGCTGTTGTAACGCTCTTGCTGAGAGAGTTGGTGACTCGTGGCTAGTGTAAAGCGGTGGACGGCCTCGAGAAGAGGCCAGGCTTCAACGTGTTTGTTGCTGGTGGCACTGAGCCGGTGTGGAAGAGGAGCTTGATGATACAGAGCAATGGAGGAATATCTTTAGAAATCAGGAGATATATTTCTATCTAATATATTTTCCAAGGGAGAAAGGAAAGGTTGGGTACAAAATCAAGTTTGCAGCTGGGTGGCAGGAAGTTGAGGGACCATCCAGCTCGTGTCCTTACAGTAGAGAAGGTAAGTCATCTCTTGAGAGTGAGGGGAGAAGTGTGGCAGGGCAGGAGGTTTGAGGGAGAGTAGAGATTCGAAATACGTGTTGTGGAGAATGGGTGAAAACAGATGAGGGACACAGGAATAATTTCTTAGCATTGAGGCCCCTGTTGGGATTGGCTACCGTGAGATTATAGTGGCACGGATTAAAATTCTCTAGTTTTGCTGCTCAGCCTTCAGATGACAGTGGGAAGACAGGCAGTGGGATTGATTCAGGACTAGAGCTTCATCAGGCAGAGCAGAGCATGAAAGGACCACCATCTGGCAGGAGATGTGCCAGTGAGAGGTGCAGCTTAAGTGATGGCAGACCATCTACCGAGAAGGAAAGGGGTGGAAAGCAGGGTCATCTAAACGCACCAGAGCTTTGTCGGTTCCTGCTCTCGAATCCGTCCACTGCCTTTCGCTACCTGGAGCCACCGTCGTCTCTCTCAGGATTATCACAGCAGTTTCCTAGTTCTTACCCTGCCTCTGGCCTGGAATGCAGGATGGCAGGTTGCTACTTCTCTCTGCTCTCAGGCTTTTCCTTGATTTCCACCCTGACTGCCAGGGAACCCCTCAGCCACCTTCTCTCTAAATGGGAATGTCATTCTGCACATTCTGGGGATGGGGTTAGGAGACACATCCTGCTGCCAGCGTCCTCTGTTTTTCCCCTTGGCCACCGCTTTTCTCAGTTTATAGCATGATTCTGCTCCTTTCCTTGTTGGTTTCTGCTGATGAGTTTTAGCAGTATTTTTTAACAGATCTGTATTATCTTTATTATTCTTTGTTTATAGGTGTTGGGGGTTAATGATTCCATGGTAATGCCTTAAGCTACCATCTTAACCATGAATTCAAGTCCGTAGTAAGATTTTTATAAACACTGCCATTCAGTGGTTTTCTTGTCGTGGACTTTTGGAGTTCCCCTGTGTATTTTGATGTGAATTGTAGCAAGTTAATCTAGTGGAAAACCAGAATCATTGACTGTGCCTGTGAGTATCTGGTAAAAATTGGTTATAAAGTTATTGTTTGTTGCCAGAAGGAACCTGATCACCCTTTATTTACTTCTTCTGACTACAGTGAAAACCACAGGAATGTGGATTTCAAGGTGCCTTCAGTTGCCACAGGAGCCTTTATTTACCATCTGATGACATTCCTGCTCCTTTTTGCCCATGGAAGGGTATTAGTTATGCATCAGTGAGTGGGGCCACTTGAGAGGTGATATTTCTCTTCCCTGAGAAAAGTCAAACTCTGTGGAGTAGCAGGTATGGATACCTGAGCTAAAATATTTTACAAGACCTTCCTTTCTCACCTCAGGCCTGCCTGACATTCCATCACCTCATTTGCTTTACTGAATAAAAAGTAGGAATGCATTAAAATGGGATTTTTGTTGACATAGCCGATTGAAACCTTAAAGTGCAATTTTGTACCCCAAAGTTTTATATAGGTGCAACCCATTTAAAAGTAAATGCCTGCAACAGAATCACAGAAATTCTGTGTGGGGGATTTTTTTTTTTTTTTAAAAACCTTTTCATTGGGGCATGCAGTCCCCAGAAACGTGATATTCTTTGTCTGATTACAGTAGTGTTAGATTACCTGGCACTATAATAATAAAACAGATGAAAAGTGGACAGCCACTTTTCACTATTTTTCTTTTAGTCTATTGCTTAGACCTCCTGAAATTCTGGTAGGTAAATTGACAAGCCTTGATTTTTTTTTTAATATATATATTTTGCATATGAATATGTTTTTAAAGTCCATACTGTGCTGAAAACATGAGGGCCACTGTGAATAATCTTTATCCAGTCTCAGATTTCCCTTTAATTATTAGGAAAAGAATTGAAGCTTCTTTTCCTCTCTCTTTTCATAATCCCTTCTAGCTTGTTTTACCTCAGCTGGGGATATCTCTAAGATTCCAGTTGCTGTCCCCCTGCCAAGGGGATGGAAGCAGAGACGGTCAGAGGTGGAAGTAATTTGAGCACAGTGTCATATTTTATAATCCCTCAGAACTCTATGAGATGTAGAGATCGTGGTATCCTTCTCAGCATAAAGAATGCCCAGGGAAGTTGGATAGCTTGGCCAGTCTGTTGGACTCTAAAGCCTCTACTTTTTTCCCCACAAAGTAAAGATTTGTTCATGGGGGAAAGTCTGGTTTTGGGGACCATGAGCAGTGTTATGGAGCAGTGGGGAGCATGGTTTTTGGAGCCGGAAAGACCCTCTAAGGAGGAAATTGCCCAGCTTCCTTGTGAACAGGTTTCATCTACAAAGTGGAGGTAGTGAGTACATTTTTAGTGTCATTGTGAGCCTGAGTTAATGCTCACACAGTATTTAACACAAAATACTAATTCAATAAATGACAGCTTGCAAAAAGAAAGATTGAATTCTAGAGTAGCTCCAGAAGCAAGACCGACTTAGTCCTCAGCTTGGAACTCCTGATCCCGGACAAACAATTGGCTCAAACTGACTGGAGTTGGGTGGACTCTATCCAGAGCTACTGTTCTGCTAAAATAGCTGATTGCAAAATAGTGATTCATAACTGTTTAAAAGAAATGTTGAAAATAAAAGTTCCATGTTGGAGTTAGGATATGTAGATTTCATGAAGAATACAGCAGATTTCTTAGATGTTTCTTCTTTTTTTTCTTGGCAGCGGGCTGGTGCAGTGATGCGAACCCTTGACCTTAGTGTCATCAGCACCATGCTCTAACTGAGCTAACCAGACAGCCCTGTTTCTTTCAATCATGTGGCATATTGTTTTAGTTAAAGAGCACTTGGTTAGTTCAGATTACTTCAAGTAAAAAGAGTTTATTGAAGGATATAGGGGCACTTTATGGAACTGAGGGGCAGGAATTATAGCTAGTCTTCTTGGAACCAGATAATGCTCAGAAACAGAAGGTGTTGACTTCATTTTTTAGAGTCTCTCTACTTTCTGGTTTGCTGTGTATTGCTTTTGTTTTTACGGCATTGCAACACGGTACAGCTTTTGATAGATTAGTTTCTTGAGGTTGTGAATTGGTGTTGGGCACCCACTGGATCTGGTAACCATTGCAGCTCTTGTTGGTGGAGTCGTTTGTACTAACTGTGGCCACCGAGGCCTTTCATTTTAGCAGAAGATACAGCTTTGTAGAGAATGAGCCTGCAGGAAAGAGCAGGCACAGAAAGCCTGACTATTATTCATATTTTGAGTTATATTATACAAAAAAAGGAAAGATCTAGAAATTAGTTGTGTGTTTTCCAAAGTCTGGTTGTCAAGTTTCCCAAACTGAAACTTGTAGCATTATTTGATGGCAGAATGCCCCAGTGGCATACTCAGTTTTAATGAAAAAATAATTCTCTTGAAAGTTGATCCTGCAAACCTAAATTTATAAGTTTGCTGTTGTCACTTTATAATAAGTATTGAATATTAATCTTCATGTTCTTTTGAATTTCTTCCAGAGATATGAAGACTATGGAATGACTCCCCCATCAGGCCCATTGCCAAGGTAAAGTTTTCAGAATGTATAATGACTTTCTCACATAGGCTGTTTTTTAAAAATTTTGTAAATTCATTTATTTTAGCTAATATGAACAGATGCAAAACTCTGAGTTGTATATTCTCTTGATCTAATCAAAAGAGAATGGAAAAAAGCTGGAATTTAAGTTCTGCTTCTAGTAATGACAGACTAGTGTTAACCTAGAAGAAATCCATTAGAGAGAAAGTATCTTCAAATATGTGGAGTTTATTTGGGAATAGAAATAGGATTATAATCTGAAATGCAGACCATGGCAAGTGATGAATGCATTTGGTGAGGGAAGGTAAAAGAAAGCTGTTATTGGCAAAAAGGGAGCAGTTCATGTGGGCTGCTTGGAAATAGAGCTCACTGGTTTCAGAGGCTCAAAGTCAGATTTGTGGTCAGTTCATCAGTTGACATGGCATCGCTAGGCAGTTTCTTCTTGGAGCATCTTATCTGAATTACTGCAGTTGTAAAGAATGTCTCCTGGTGGATTTTGTCACAGAAACATGTGCATATGTGCAAAGCAGGAGATACGTGAAGGACGTGAAAGACACGAAAGGATTTCTGGTGGGTTTTTAGAAGGTCCTTGGAAACAGTTCTGATCTCAGATAAGCAAGCATGAGCTCCCCTCCGTCCCTCCTTTCCCAGCTCTATTTTGGAAATATGTTTGGGTCCGATAGAAAGTGATTTCATTAACTTTCACACTGGATAATCTGTTGAGGACAACTGGAAAAACTATACAAGATATTAAAATTTAAGAATCCCTAGAGGGCTGGCCCATGGCTCACTTGGGAGAGTGTGGTGCTGATAACACCAAGGCCACGGGTTCAGATCCCATATAGGTATGGCCGGTTAGCTCACTGGGTGAGCGTGGTGCAGACAACACTAAGTCAAGGGTTAAGATCCCCTTACCGGCCATCTTTAAAAAAAAAAAAAAAAGAAACCTTAGAGAGCTAACAGGTCAGTAAAGCATGGGGCCAAGATCCAGGAAACCCCAGAGAGGTGAGCCCTACTTTTTGGGCCACTTTTCTCTCAGGGACATTGTATTAGCCCATTTCTGTTGCTGTAACAAAATACATGTTACTGGGTAATTTATAAAGATAATGAAATTTATTGCTTACAGTTTCAGAGGCTAGGAAGTCTGAAGTCCAGGGAACACATCTGGTGAAAGCTTTCTTTCATGGTGACTTCAGTGGTGGCAGGGTGTCACATTGTGAACTGGTGGAGCAGAGCAGAGAGTAACCTCCTCATTCACTCTCTTTTTAAAACCCTCCAAACCATGCCCATGACCACCATTTTTAATCCATTCATTATGGCAGGGTCCTACAATCTGATCAGCTCTTCAAGGCCCCATCTTTCAGATACCATAATAGGATTTTCTACCCTCAACAGTTATGGTGAGAATTAAGCTTCTAATATATGGACTTTGGGGGACACAGTTCAGTCAGCCCCACAGCAGGCAATTGCTGCCTTCTGAAGAGTCAGCCGAGTGGCTGAGAAGCTGGGCAAAACTTTTGACAGACTCATGGGGCTGGGAGGATAAGGGGAGAAGACCCTTGTAAACAACCCAAGGTTTTGGATTAGTACCCTTCACTCTAGGAGTGAAGACAAATTGAAGTAGATTGGTCCCTGCAGGAACTAAAGCCCAGCTTCGAAAGGTGATCAGAGATTGCTGCATAGCAGACATAAATGTAAATCTCCTTTAGAGGAAAATAATATCATTCTGGGCCCTACATTATTGCTACAGTACGTCATGTGTGCACACACACAGACACACAGACACACACACACACAAAGCAACATTATTGCTACAGTACGTCATGTGTGCACACACACAGACACACAGACACACACACACACACACAAAGTATGATCACAAAAAAAGATAACATTTTTAAAAATCAAGAGAAACAGGCAATAGAAATGGAACCACAGGGGAGCCAGATATTGATGTATCAAACACACATTTTAAAATAATTACACTTAATATGCTGTTAAAGCCCATTTTCCATGAAGGTGTAAAAGTACTAATGTTACACTGTATGTAATAAGTCAAGCATTCTGTTGTGGTTTTTAGGTTAACTCACCAAAAGAATGCTTAAAATATTAAGATAATGAGAAATAAAATAATTTAAAAGTAATACAAAAGGATGTAGGAAATGGGAGGAAAAGGCAACACAGAATTGGCAGGACATTCGGGAAGCAAATATAAGATGGTAGAGATCTGAATTCAGATATATAAGTAATTATCTTAAATATTAATAATAAATATTCTGATTAAAAGACAAAGATTGTTAGATTGGATTTTTAAAAACTATATTTGGTCTATGAGAGGCACATCAAAAATATAAGATACAGAAAGGATATAGAAGATTCAAGCAACATTAATAATTGATTTGACCTAAGTACATATATAGAATACTGGACTCAGTAATTTGCAAAATACATTTTCTTCTAAAATACATTTTAAAAATTGACCATATGTTGGGCCCTAACAAATCTTAACAAATTTCAAAGAAGTGAAATCAATCAGAGTACATTTGCTAATCCTAGTAAAATTAAGTTAGAAACCAACATCAAAAGATAACTAGAAAATCCCTATATGTTTTAAATTAATCAGTACCCTTCTAAATAACCCACGGTACATTGAAGAAATCACAATGGAAAATAGAACATATTCTAAAATGAGTAATGAAAATACAACATATCAAAAGTTGTTATATACAGCTATAGCAATGTTTAGGGGAGAAATTTGTTGCTTTAAATTCATATATTTAGAAAGAAAAATGGCTGAAAATCAATCTAAGAATCCATCTCAAGATGTAAAAAAAAAAGATCCAGTTAAACTTAAAGAAAGTAGAAGGAAGGAAATAATAAAAGTAAGAACATAAATTAATGGAATAGAAAATAAATACCATAATAAAAGAGGACCAGTAAAGCCAAAACTTGGTTCTTAGAAAACTAATAAAATTGATAAACCTCTGGCAAGCTTGATTAAATAACCTGTATAACAAATTGTCAATAAGAGGAATGAATACGTTAATCCAGATCTCACAGACATTAAGAAGATTTTATGAACACATTTTTGTTAATAATTTTGAAATGGAAAATTTTCTAGAATGAAAAAACCTGAGGGCCGGCCCAGTGGCGCACTGCTACAGTGCACCGCTTGGGAGTGTGGCGGCGCTCCCGCCAAGGGTTCGGATCCCACATACAGACTGGTTCCCGCTCACTGGCTGAGTGAGGTGCGGGCGCAGCACCGAGGGTTGCGATCCCGTTGCCGGTCCGGTACGGGCGCGACACTGAGGGTTGCGATCC